CCTGGGGGGGGCAGGTGGTCCAGCAGGCGGATTCCGGGGCGGCCCCACCCCGCCCCTGGCTGGCTGAGTTCCCTCCAGAGCGTGAGGGGAGCATGAGCTGGGGCCCGAGTCCTGGTTCCCGAGGCCCGGACCTGCCTCAGGGGTGCCCCCCCGCAGCAACTGGCCCCCTGGGCCTCAGGGAGGCGTGGGTGGAACTCAGGTTCCCATTGCACTTGGTGTCCAGGGACGGACCTCCCTCCCGGGCCCACCAGGCTCTGCACCCGGCTGGGCCCCAGGCTGGCCTGTGGCTGCTACTCAAGCCTCCAGGAGCCCACTGGCCACTCCCCCGTCTCCCTGCTCAGGGGGTCCCTGTTGCCCAAAGGCCCGAGTGTGGGGAGACCTGGCATCGTGGGGCTCTTGAAGTTGGGGTACCCAGAGGGGGTAGAGCTGCAGGGAGGGCCCCATCTTGGAGAGGGAGGGCAGTGGTGGGGCCTGCCCAACAGGGTGTGTGTGAACCGCGGTCACCTGGCTGCGGCTCCCGACGGTTCGGAGCTAGAGCCTGGCTGGTGGCTCAGCTGGTTGGAGCCGAGCTCCTGCACCAAAGGTTGCTGGCTGATCCCGGTTGGGGTGCGATGGGAGGCATCCGATTGATGTTTCTCATGTCAATGTGTTTTCTCTCTCTCCTCCCTCTTTAAAAATCAATAAAAAATACCCTCAGGTTAGGATTTGTTAAAAAATGAGAGAATACAATAGAAAGGAGAGGACAGGCCCACCTCCTGCTAGCGGGGGGGAGGGGGGTCTGCTGGCTTTGGCTCCCACGGGCCAGACGACAGGTGCACCCCCACTGAAGCTGAAGGGCCGAGCTTCTGAGGGACAGAGGCGGCTGAGGATACGCCTTCACACCCACTGCTCGCCCCGCCAGAGGTGACCAGGTCAGCGCCTGCAGCCAGGCCGCTCCCGTGGGCCAGCGGGTGGGCAGGAGACCGAGGTCCGGCCCCATCCTTCCTGCACGTGGTCCGGCGCAGCTTTGGGACTTGGCCTCTCACCGTCCTGGTGACCGACTCTGGGCCCAAGGGAACCTGTGGGCGCTCTGCTTCCCTCCTGCTCGTTCCTGCCTCCGGGGGGCCCGGATCTGGGGGCGCCCTCGCTGCCAGGCTGCCTGCTGCTGCCCTCTGTGGGCGGTGGTGGGAGCAGGGCCAACAGCTGACACAGAGCACCGCCCACCAGGTTTATTCGGTTGCACATCAGCCTGTTATGCACAAAGTCGAGGAGTCGGGGGGAGCAGGCGCGGGTCCAGGAGCCGCTCAGGACACCAGGACAGTGCAGGGTGGAGGCGCCGTGCAGAAGGCAGCCTGGCTGCACGAGGACAGGTGCGGCCCCTCGGGTCACTGTCCCTCAAGTGGACTCTCACCGAGCCGGGCGCCTCCTGGGGGTGGGATGGGGGCCCAGCAGTGCAGCAGGCGGAGGGAAGCCGGGCCTCCCCAGGCACGCAGGGCGGTGGCCCCTGCGGGGAGGTACCCTCCACAGAGCTGGCCCCCTCTGTGCAGCCTAATGGGAGGGTGCAGGGCCTGCTGTAAAGGGGCGCCGTGCAGGGAGGGGGAGGCAGGAACGCCCTCTCCAGCCCTTCCAGGACCGCCTGGTCTGGGGCTGCAGCTCTTAGAACCACGTGAGCCGCGGGGAGGCGCAGGAAGCCGGGCTCCGGGGACGTCCTCCCTCAGGCGCTGTGGCTCCCTCTCTCGGGCGGCTCCTCCTGCTGCTTCATGGCCTCCAAGAAGGCCAGCTCCTTGGCCTCCTTCTTCTGGTTCCGAGCCTCATACTCCAGCCTGGGGGCCGGAGGGGGGCGTGAGTGTGCGAGCCCAGGCTGCGGGCTCTGCTTCCCACCAGCCCTCGGGCCTCACCTGTTCTTGATGATGCGCTGGACGATGAGGTCCGTGGTGAGGTCGCTCCCGCTGTCGATCTGGCGGAAGATGCCCCGTTTCTTGGGCTCCTGAAGGTGGGGACCGGGGGGAGATGAGGGCCTCCTCTGGACCCCGGGAGGCTGCCCGCCGCCCCAGGGTGGTGGGGACGCTTGCTCCTGTGAGGCCCTGGGGGAGCAGTGGCCCCCCCGAGCCCCAGCAGCCCAGGCCCGGCCTGCATGCCCACCTGGTACGGGTCGGAGCCGTCCTTGTCAGGCATGATTTCCGTCTTCCCGTGACACACCAGGTCCACCTGCAGAGGGAGCCGGGGTCAGGGAGCCCTCCCAGGACCATCCACAGGGCCCCCTGCCCCAGGGAGGCAGCCAGAGCCACTGCCCGGCTC